CACTAAGCTCATACCTTCATTTTATTTACTAAGCTGATAAAAAAAAAAAAAATAAAGAACAGGTACAAACAAATTTCTAAATATATAAACCTAACTAACTAGATTACGTTTAACTCATTTTGTGCGACATACAACAATTTTTTTTTTCATTGCAAAAATAAAAATATTTTGTATTTATAGATACAAAATATTTTTATTTTTGCAATAAAAAAGAAAAAGAATAATAAACAAAAAGAACAATAAACAAGAAGTTACAACTTCTTGTACTTTACTTTCTTTAATCAACAAGTTTCTGAAATCTTATCTTAAGTCTAATAACTTAATCTCTGACGTTAAATACACGTTTTTAATCTTCTTGTTCTACAACTGACTTGCTAGCTGCCATAACTAAAAGTTTCTATCATGCATTAGATGGAGGCGAGGGGTATTGCTCTTGATACATCAAAAGCTTTTGATAAACTATGGCCACCTGATCCTGTCTGTTAGCTTACTTCATATAGTGTATCTGGGAAAGATTTTGATATTACTAAGTCTTATAATTCCAGCTGCAGTAAGTCATCCTTAAGGACCAACACTCTTATTCATTTGCAGTAACTTCTGGGGTACTGCAAGGTTATGATATAATCTCTCATCTGTAACAGCTTGAGGTTTGCAGTGACTTGTGAACTTTAACTCCAATAAATCTAACTTTTTTAAAGCAAACAATTATTGCACTACTAATGACATTCCTATATTGATAAATGTAGGGTTACAAGGTGTCAGAGTTTTACATAGTAGATTACATTAAAAATTTTGAATTTTATAGGTTTGGCACTATTCTTCTCTCTAAAACCAAGATATTTATTAACCTTAATAAATGGCAACCCTCTCACTGAGTCCTCTAGTTTATTTTTTCTTGGATTATCATTCAATACTGACCTCTTATGAAAACTATTCATGTATTGTTGTCATATTTAAGCTGGTTCTTTTAATGATGCTTTTTCTCTTCTAGATGAGGTCCAAATACATATTTTCAATGTAGTTAGACCTAGTTTATCTGCCAAACTTAAGCCACTCTCCTATTGTCGTAAGGTTGCATCTCTTTTTAAGTTGTCTGTCTATCGTTTTCTTGCATTTCACAATATTCTTTGTTTTCTAGTAACTCCTAATTTAAGGTTACTTGGTCAGCCTTGTAAAGAAGAAAGCTCTAAAATTGGTATTTTCTTATCTCTCTTTATGTAAAAATGTGCATTTGCTTTTAACCATTGACCAAGTAAAGCGGTAACATATCAGTTACTAGTTATTCTACAGTATAGTTCCTAGTTTTGTCTTATCTATATCTTTTAAAATGTACCAAATATATCTTAGCATATCTCTAGCTCTTGGAAGCTCAGATATAAATAGGTCTTTTCCATTCCCTTCATGATTGCTCACTTCCTAAATAATGCATTTCTTGTTCTTTTAGACATTTTGAATAAATAAAATATGTTTATCAGAGGGTCTATTTTGATTTGATTACGAAGTAATAATAATTTTCAAAGTAATTATTACTTCATAATTGAACCAAAAATTATTAGAAAAAATGAAATGCTAGTTATTGTTAATAACCAAAATAAGGGAAATTAAAATCAAAATAAGTGAAATAAAAATCAAAATTAACCTAACACTGAATCATTTTCAAAATTTTTTTAAGATATAGTTATTTTTTATTATTTAAAAACTTTGGCATATAAAATTCGCCGAATTTTATATGCCAAAACACACGAGCAGTGAACGCCTGAGGGAAGAAATTAAGTACATTAGAATAAAGGAGAATTATTTATTAGACAAAGCATATTTTGACAGTTGTCAAGACAAAAATAAAGATTATTAGAGGAATATTTAAAAATAAATAAGACAAGCTATACAACCAAAACAGTACTTAACCATAATAACAATAAAAAAAATTAAAAAAATAAAAACAAATAATAATAAAAAAATATATATATATATAAAAATAAAAAAAATAAAAAAATAAAAAAAATTGTTTTATAAATACCAATATGAACTAAAATATACAAGAAATACATTATAAATAAAAAATTTAATACTCTTCTTTTTGCTAAATTTGAAAACTATATTTTTAAGTATAATATTTTATTATATTAAATATTATATTAACATATTTTAGGTATAAAATTTTTTATACAAATATAATTTATTTTCAGAATAAAGCTTATTCCGGCTTTAGTTTTTTAATTCAATAAATTTTGCTTCTGAGTTTTTTTTTAATATGTAGATAAATCATAGAATAAAAAGGTTTGATAGATATACCAATTTTCTAATGACTATTAAAAAAAAAGTCATGTAGTTTTACTTTATCATTATAAATGTAAGATAAGTTCGATGTTTTTACTAACTTTTTATCTCTTTTTGTGATTTCCTTATTCACTTTTATTATCAACTATATTGAAGACATAAATTCATTTGATAGTTGATAGTGCTATAATTGATATAATAATTAAAAACCTTTTTAATCCTAAAAACCTTTTTAATCCTAAAAACAAATTATTTGTCAAACATCAGTTAGTTAAAAATATTTTTTTTTTGCAGTATTAAGAACTGCTTTAGAACAATGTGAAGAATACATTTGTGACTCATTTAATTTGTCTACACATTTGTGAGTCATTTAATTGGTCTAAACATTTGTCATTTGTTAACAACTACTTGAGACTTTTATTCTTTTAAATTTACTGAGGTTTAATCCAGCATATTCATTGCTCAGACAAATTATAAATGTATTCAATTAAATTGTTAACAGCATCTTACTGTTGATGGTAAAAAAAATCTTCCACTTAGATAATTGTGCAGATTACAAGAACTTTTTTAAATTTGGTTTACTTTTTTATGTTGCTACATTTTCCAAGTTATTACCAACTATTGTTGGTATTGCTGAAACTATTAACATAACAAATACTAAAACAATCTAGAGAATATATGTATATATATATATATATATATATATATATATATATATATATATATATATATATATATATATATATATATATATACATATATATATATATATATATATATATATATATATATATATATATATATATTTATATATATATATATATTTATATATATATATAATATATATATATATATATATATATATATATATATATATATATATATATATATATATATATATATATATGTATATATATATATATATATATATATGTATATATATATATATATATACATATATATATATATATATATATATATATATATATATATATATATATATATATATATATGTATATATATATATATATATATATATACATATATATATATATATATATATATGTATATATATATATATATACATATATATATATATATTTTCAATATATATGTATTGGCAATATTTTCACTTTGTTGGAAGTGAAGATGTTGAATATATATATATATATATATATATATATATATATATATATATATATATATATATATATATATATATATATATATATATATATATATATATATATATAAATATATATACATATATATATATATATATATATATATAAATATATATATAAATATATCCATATTTATTATATTTATATATATATATATATATATATATATATATATATATATATATATATATATATATATATATATATATATATATAATATACTTAATATATATATATATATATATATATATATATATATATATATACACTAAATATATATATATATATATTTTTTATTTTCAACATCTTCACTTCCAACCAGGCTGCAAGCAACCACTATAAGAGTTGGAAGTTACTGGAAGAGAAAAGATGAAGTTTATAAAGCAAGATAGCTATTAACAGACAGCTTAAACGATTGCAAATTGTATGAGGCAGGAAAACAAGATTAAAGTAGCAAATTCCAAAGGACTGATGTTCAAGGAAAAATACTAGACAAATAAGAATTTTTGGAGCACTTAAAAAAAATCACAGTTAAAGGAGGAGGCTTAACGAGTAACACGAGAATGAATTTTAGTAGATGGCACAAGAGGCGCTAGCTCTTTAGAGCAGCGCCCATTATAGTATTTATAGAAAATAGATAAAGAAGCTAAAGTGGTTAAAAGTTGGCTGCAAGAGCAGATCTACTATATATAAAAAATGTATAAGCATATTGAAATATATATAAGCATATCAAAATAACTTTTGCAATTTTACTCACTTTTTTTCTGCATTGTTTGCCCAAAAGAAGTGAGTGTGTTCCACTCCAAAAAAATCTATACACACACACACACACACACATATATATATATATAACTAAGCACTCAATTATATATATAACTAAGCACTATCATATATATAATTCATATATAAATTCATATAAATCATATATATAACTGAGCACTCAATCTAACTTAGCACTCAATTACTCCATATTTCATTCCCTATCTCTATTAAATCTAACTTAGCACTTAATTACTCCATATTTCATTCCCTATCTCTATTAAATCTAACTTAGCACTCAATTACTCCATATTTCATTCCCTATCTCTATTAAATCTAACTTAGCACTCAATTACTCCATATTTCATTCCCTATCTCTATAAATTTCTTAATACTAGTATATATGTGTAAATAATTAATATAATGTATAAATGAAAATGTATAAAACTCCTATTACTATAAATCTCTTATTACTATATCCTTTTATTCTTTTTTTTCATATTTATGAACTGGTTCTAGTAATGCTTTTTTTTATTTAAGCTTCAGCTTCTGTTATATATATTTTATATATCTTCAGCTTCTGTTTTATATATTTGCTTTTAGAGTTTTTTTTATATTAAATTACATATAAGCATATTGGCTTTACAGAGTTTAGAAATAAGAATTTCGATAATTTTTTAAAAATATAATACATCTAGAAACTAAAAAAACATGTTTATGAAATAGTCAAATTTTTCAATAATTTATAAATTTTTATTAACATATGATCTGTTTCTTTAGATATTTAACTGAACTGCCTCACCTACCTGGTTCGGAGAGAAACAAAGTTTTAGGTCAAGAAATTGCTAAACAATGGGAAGAGTCTGGGTTTGATAAAGTTGATGAGTATAAGTATAATATCTATCTGCCATCCCCAAATAAACCTGGAGTCATATATGCTCTAAATGAAGATGGTTCAGTTGAAAAAAATATTACTATTAATAATGAACCTGCTTTTTTTGATTCGGAGAAAAAAGGAGATGTTGTCTACCCTTTTAATGCATTTGGTACAAGTGGTGAAGTTATTGTATGATTTTTTATTTATACATATATTTTTAATTTTATTTGCCTAAAATTCTAGTTTTATTATTTTAAATTACATATAATATCAAATAGCTTTATAAAAAAATAAAATGTTTTTAAAAAAGGGAATAATTTTTTTTTTTTTAAAAAAAAAGTAAAATATTTGTTCTCCTAAGTCAAGAGTCCACTCTTGTGTGAACATAGATTTGTAAAAAACAAATACTTTTCTTTCAAAAAAGGTGAAAGAAAGGATTAAGATTCACAAATAAAAAAGTTAAAAGGATAAAATTATCTTAAAGGCTAAAAAAATTGGATAAAATTATCTGGTGAAGTAAAGATTGTCTTGAAACTGACAAAAAGGAATAAAAGTTTCCATGCTGGCTGAAATTTATGAGATTACATAGAAGGCGCAATTTTCAGAAGAGAGACAATAAACAGTAATCTATATCAGTAAGAACTGTGTAATCTATATCTGTAAGAATTGTGCTGATAACTCTTATATAGAAGAAGTATTAATAATAAAATAGTTTTAGTTTTAGCAGATCATAGTATGACCTGAACCACTTATTGGGGAACAAGGAAAACACGGAGCTTAGCTCAAAAACAAGACACAAGTCAAGAAGTAATATAGTTGTCTGAAAAACAAATCACAAAGCTAGCTGTTTAAGTAGGAGAATGAAAAAATATATATTTTGAAAGCTTTAGTAGGGTCAGTGGTACTAGAGACAATCTATTTAGTGCAATAAGCATTAAAGTTACCATAACAACAATATTGGATAAATAAAAAGCATGGCCAATTTGATTAGAAGTATCAATGATAAAACAACATAGAGTAAAGAGAAATGTCATCAAATCAATTTCTAATAAAAATTTGTGCTAAATAAAAGCACATAAAAGCATAGTCATTCGAATCAAAAGATTTCACAACAATAGATTGATGCATAAGTATATAGCCAAGCCAAGCCAAATTTAATTTCCTAACCTCCTGGATATAGCCAAGTATGTGACTATGAGAGTCTTTGAAAATCTAATTGAGTACAATATTGAGATCCAAAAGTGATAAAGCCAAATTTGAAAAAGTCTTACTAAAAGCAAGTAGGTACAAACGGAAACTTCAGCTTACTCTTAAACCTTTCTACTTACATCCTCTAAACTTTCTACTTACTATGTATATATGTATATCACTGGTGATATACATCATATCTTCACACATCTTATCTATAAAAGTATAAACAAAACCCAAAAAATGCATTAAAAATGCAGCAAAGAAATTAAAAAAAAATTTTACAAGTTTATGTTGTTGATAAAGTTTGCACATTAAAAATTTAAGTGCAAAAATAAATGTCAGAACAAAAATATATAGATTTAGAGTAATTGTTTTAAAATGTTTAACTATTAGCAATTGTTTCATTATTGTTAAATTTTAAAAAAACTTGAAATGTGATAGCCTAGTTATATATATATATATATATATATATATATATATATATATATATATATATATATATATATATATATATATATATATATATATATATATATATATATATTTTAGGCACCTATTGTATACTGTAACTATGGTGAACAAAAAGATTTTGCAGAGTTGGAAAAACTTAACATTAGCTTGAAAGGAAAAATACTATTGTTTAGATATGGAAAAGCTTCCAGAAGTGCAAAGGTAATTTTTCAAGAAATATTTTCAATTAAAAAGAAAAAGATTTTTATTAAAAAAGATGATATAAAGTGTATTACCGACTTATATTGGTGCACCCCTAATATATATATATATATATATATATATATATATATATATATATATATATATATATATATATATATATATATATATATGGGGTGTACTGATGCATCAACATTGGCCTGCCAATGCATCGACCATTTAGCTGATGTATTGGCATTGGCCTTGATAACCATCGATTGATGCCAATTGTTTTGAAAAGTTTTTAAATTTTTGTTTTTATTTCTGTGTTTCTATATTATATCCAAACATAGAATTACGCCATAAACATAAATACAATAAATAAACCTAACTTATTAAAAATAAGTTATTATATAGGGATATATGCAACCACTAAACTTAAAATTTTGAACTGCTTTTAACAGGGCTTCATACTTTTTTAGTGTTTTCTTATAATTTAGTACATTAATTATGTAACTTATGGATATGAAACTTTACAAAGAAGTTTAAAATTAAGAACATTTACAAAATATAAACATGAAGTATAACATATTTAAAACATAATAGAACAACTTGTGTCATGTTAAAAATAAATATAAATTTTTATAATGTTATGAAAAATAATAAATTATGTTATATAAAACTGTGAATTTAATTTTTTGTTTCCATTTCTCCAAAAAATTTTCAATTCGCATGCGCAAAAGCTAGATGTTCTGTAGTTAATCAGGATTATGTCGATTCATAAATATTTCCACCCAGTATAGAAAGAAAAGCACAGAAAAGAAAATTGCTTTAAATAAAGTTTTTGAAACTCTTCCTGTTATTCTTTACAACCAAAATGTTTAATTACATTTATGTTAAATTTAAATAATAAAATTTTATTTATTTTAAATTAAAAGTGTTTAATAAATAAACGTTTAATAAATAAATTAAATAAATCAAAATATTGCTTTCATTGTCACATGAATTGAATGTGGCATTTCTATTCAAGTGTATATGTCTTTTATAGATCTAATTTCAGGGCTGGTAGATCGATATTGGCCTGTACCCATTGGCGTTGGCATTGGCCAAAAGTAGGCATTAGTGCACACCTTATATATATATATATATAATATATATATATATATATATATATATATATATATATATATATATATATATATATATATATATATATATATATATATATATATATATATATATATATATATATAATATATATATATATATGTATATATATATATATATATATGTATATATATATATATATATATTATATATATATATATATATATATATATGTATATATGTATATATGTATATATGTATATATGTATATATGTATATATGTATATATGTATATATGTATATATATATATATATATATATATATATATATATATATATATATATATATATATATATATATATGTATGTATATATATATATATATATATATGTATATATATATATATACATATATATATATATATATATATATATATATATATATATATATATATATATATATATATATATATATATATATATATGTATATATATATATATATATATATATATATATATATATATATATATATATATATATATATATATATATATATATATAATATATATATATGTATATATATATATATATATATATATATATATATATATATAAATATATATATAAATATATATAAAAGATTGCACTAAAGGTCACAAGGTTAGAAACATTACTTAATAAATAAGTTATTGCAATAAGAAGCCATAAAAAAGCATTTATTTTGCCTATAATCACCCCTTAATCAAATGTTATGTTCAGAAGTCAAAAAAAAATGAATCAATAACTTATAAGTTAGAAAACCAAAAACTAGATATCCATTGTTTCAAAGGTCTTTTGAATAATTTCTATGGAGCTTAACTATAAAAATTGAGAAAAACTTATTGAGAAAGTAAAAAAGTTCTTTATAATTACTTTTACATTTGCATTTGGTGCATCTACACAAGAGTAAAAAGGTAGTGAGTAACAAAGGCTTTTACAGGTAAAAGATAATTTGCCCTACCAAAGCATTACAAACTTAATTTTAGTTAACAAGAGAAATATAAAACACAATAAAAATTTGATTCTCACATAATGAAAAATAGTACTTTTTTAAACTAAAATGTGAGCAGGATACTTAAGTTTACTTTTACAAGTATAATAAAAAAATATTCTTAAATAAACTAAAGAATGCACAAAAATATGCAAAATATAATTGTAAAAATAAACTTGAAATTTTTTTGTGGATTAGTATTTTACTCTCACAGAATTTTTTCGAATCATTTGATAATCAAGTAAAAGCAATTATTAATGTAAAATGCTTATGTAAAAGCATTCATTAACTAAAAAGAATTCTGCACTCGCTACTGAATATTTTTTGTATTGCTCTGTAAGAGTCAACCACTTTGCGCATTCATTACTATTTTTAAGGTTTTTCTTTTTTTTCATGCTTTAGTAACTAATTTTGATATTTAAATATGGTATTCCATTTGGAGTATTGCATTGATATATTTTCCAGTACCATCTGGAGTATTGCATTGATATATTTTAGTAAAAATTGAAATTTTTTAATTAAAAATAGTATTACTAGAAAATGAAAAAAATTTTTTTTTTTTTTTTCAAGTTAATTTACTCCCCACAAAGCTGCAAGCAACCACTATTAAGTTGAGAGTTACAATAAAACAAAGAATATTGTTAAGGAGCAAGAAAATGATTGACTTCAAAAGTTGTTGGTTGAATAAGTTAAAAAAACATGAAGAAAATCTCAAAGGGAGAGAATTCCAAAACATTGATGTCTAAGGAGAAAAACTAGATTAATAAATTTTTTGGGGGCATAAAAGGACAATAACATTAAAATAATGCAACTTTGCTAAATGACAAGTTAAGGGAGAATAAACAAGTTAAGGAGAATAAATTTTGATTGATAAACTTATGATCTTAGCTTGTCTGAGCAGTGAACTTGATTTGTAGAAAGAAGAAAGAGATGCAACCTTACCATGTTATAGGAGTGTCTCGCGCTTAGCAGATAAAGCAGTACCCAACTACATTTACAATGCGTTTTTGGACCTTGTTTATAAGATGAAGAGCATTATTAGAAAAACCAGCAAAAATTTGTCAACAGTTTTTCACAGGGACAAATAAGAGATTTGTGGAGGCAGATGATGGAATCAGAAGTAAGAAAATGGCCTTAAACTTGAGCAGTTACCTTTGCAATAGATTAAATAATAAGTTTCAATGAAAAGTCAGTATTAAATAAAAATCCAAGAGGGTTTCCATTCATCAATATAGTCAATAATAATATGTAAATGCAATCTCCTACGCATACTAAGTGAGTTTTGTTGGAGTTTAAATTCACAAGCCACTGTAAGCCTTAAGCTGTTACAGAAGATCACAAAAGATCAGTTTCTAGATTGCTACTAGTTTTAAGCAATCTCTTTTTGTTGAGTTTAAAGTTGAGTCATCAGTATATAAAGCCACTTTTGATATAAGATTTTTTATTTAGATAAGAAACAATACAGGACTATTGATATAACCTTAACTGGTACCCCTAAAGTTACTAGAAATAAAGAAGAGTGTTGGTCTTTGAGGATCACTTTAAAAACTGCAATAAAAAAAATGGTTTAATAATTTCAAAAACACCATTTGAAGCAAGTTTATGGAGAAGACCAGCATGCCAAATTTTATCAAAAACTTTTGATTTGTTGTGATATGATAGAGTGCTTGCTTTGTAACAAAAAGTTCAAAGTTTTATCCCCACTGCATTCCTGGTAGTACTGCGCCTAACTTATTTCTCCATGCAGCAGCTTTTTTCAACAAGGCTTATGTTTTGGAGTTAAAAAGTTGAAAGAGGGTTATAACCATATAAAGAAAATATGTCTTAAGCAATAGCCTTTACATTGTCACCTCCATCTAATGCACTTTCAGTTGAATTTAATCTAAAAATCTTTCAGTTAGCAAGTCAGCTGTAAAAATAACCGAAATCTGTTGTTAGATTATAATTTCAAAAATTAATTTGTTAAACTCAAAATGAATTTTTTGATTAAAAGCTTAAAGGCCTAATAATAATAGTTGAAAGGATCAGAATATTCTCCAGAGATTTCAAGAATTGGAATGGAAAGTGGCAAAGAAGCTAATTTTCATCAGATAGAAAAACAAGATTCAGTCAAGCACTTGTTAGATAATTTGAAGGGACTTCTGGAGGACACTTTTGCAAAGCTATGACATGAATGTTGGCTAGAACACAAGCCATAAAATAGTTTAGTAAAATACCTAATAATAGAGAAAGGTGATTAGGTGTTAGTAGGGTGAGTCAGAATGGTTTCAACTTAAATGTCTATTCCTTAGATACTATTAAAATTTCTGTTTATTGATTTTAGTTGAGTGAAAATATTATAAAGAAATAGTACATTAAAAGTAATGATTAGAAATCTATAAAACACTTGCCTTTCTTATACATTTTAGCAGAATATAAAAATAAGCTTGAAATTGCAGAAGTAAACTAGAATAAAATAAAAATAGAACTACAGTAAAATAAAAATAGAAATAAACTACAGTACAATAAAAATAGAAGTAACTGCAGTAAAATGCTAAAGATAAAAAAAAGATACAGTTTGGTTTTAATTACCAAGTAAATTAGCAAGTAAGATGATCTTTACCTCATTAAACTGAGGTAAACTTGTTTCTTTGCCTAGCGATTTGTCAAAACTCTAATAATGAAGTTTAAAGGTTGTAATATCAATTTTAAAAAAAAATAATTTTATTGGCTGCAGTGAGGAAGTGAATCTTAAGTTACAGTGAATAAAAATTATCTAACCATGGGCAAATGTTTTTACAATATTAATAGTACTTTTTTATTGTTTAAAATCAGTATTAAAGTAGTTAGAAACTTTAGTTTTTTTATTTATTCACTCTTTCTTTTTTTATTTATTCATTCATA